AACTGAAAGAGGTCGGTTCGTGATTTTGAGAAAGCAACAGAAGATGAAAGAAAAATAGAAGAGGTTCTATAACATTTGAATAAGAAGCGAAGACGATATCAACTGCAGCAATATCCCCAAATCTTCATGCAATATTGCTTTAAACAGAAATAGTGATTACCTTCTTAACATGACTGGCTAGTAAATTCAGACTCCCAAGCAAAGACCGACTCCCAAGCAAAGACCGACTCCCAAGCAAAGACCGACTCCCAAGCAAAGACCGACTCAGACTCCCAAGCAAGACCGACTCCCAAGCAAAGACCGACTCCCAAGCAAAGACCGAACTCCCAAGCAATCTCCCAAGCAAAGACCGACTCCCAAGCAAAGACCGACTCCCAAGCAAAGCCGACTTCCCAAGCAAAGACCGACTCCCAAGCAAAGACGACTAAGCACCGACTCCAAGCAAAGACCGACTGACTCCCAAGCTGACCGACTCGACTACCGACTCCCAAGCAAAGACGACTCCCAAGCGAGGCGACCGACTCCCAAGCAAGACCGACACCAAAGCAAAAGACCGACTGACTCCCAAGCAAAGGCCGACTCCAAGCAAAGACCGACTCCCAAGCAAAGAGACTCCAAGCAAAGGCCGACTCCAAAACAAAGACCGACTCCCAAGCAAAGACCGACTCCCAAGCAAAGACCGACACCAAAGCAAAGACCGACTCCCAAGCAAAGACCGACTCCCAAGCAAAGACCGACTCCCAAGCTCCCAAGCAAAAGACCGACTCACAAGCAAAGACCGACTCCCAAGCAAAAACAAGCAAAACGCAAGCGACCGACTCCCAAGCAAAGACCGACTCCCCAACCGACTCCCAAGCAAAGACCGACTCCCAAGCAAAGGCCGACTCCAAGCAAAACCGAACAAAGACCGACTCCAAGCAAAGGACCGACTCCAAGCAAAGACCGACTCCAAGCAAAGACCGACTCCCAAGCAAAGACCGACTCCCAAGCAAAGAAGAGCCGACTCCCAAGCAAAGACCGACTCACAAGCAAAGACCGACTCCCAAGCAAAGACCGACTCCCAAGCAAAGACCGAACCAAAGCAAAAGACCGACCCAAGCAAATACCGACTCCCAAGCAAAAGACTCCCAAGCAAAGACCGACTCCCAAGCAAACCGACTTCAAAAGACCGACTCCAAGACCGACTCCCAAGCAAAGACCCAAGCAAACCGACTCCCGCCGAAAAAGACCGACTCACAAGCAAAGACCGACTCCCAAGCAAAGACCGACTCTCACAAGCAAAGACCGACTCCAAGCAAAGACCGACTCCAAAGCAAAGACCGCAAGCAAAGACCGACTCCCAAGCAAAGACCGACTCCAAGCAAAGACCGACTCCCAAGCAAGACCGACTCCCAAGCAAACCGACTCCAAGCAAAGACCGACTCCCAAGCAAAGACCGCAAGCAAAGACCGACTCCCAAGCAAAGACCGACTCCCAAGCAAGACCGACTCCCAAGCAAAGACCGACTAAAGACCGACTCACAAGCAAAGACCGACTCCCAAGCAAAGGGACTCCCAAGCAAAGACCACTCCAAGCAAAGACCGACTCACAAGCAAAGACCGACTCACAAGCAAAGACCGACTCACAAGCAAAGACCGACTCACAAGCAAAGACCGACTCCCAAGCAAAGACCGACTCCAAGCAAAAGACCGACTCCCAAGCAAAAGACTCCCAGCAAGACCGACTCCCAAGCAAAGACCGACTCCCAAGCAAAGACCGACTCCCAAGCAAAGACCGACTCCCAAGCAAAGGCCGACTCAAAGCAAGCAAACCGACTCCCAAGCAAAGACCGACACCAAGCAAAGACGACTCCCAAGCAAAGACCGACTCCCAAGCAAAGACGACTCCAAGCAAAGACCGACTCCGACTCCAACAAAGACCGACTCCCAAGCAAAGGACCGACTCCAAGCAAAGCCGACTAAGCAAAGACCGACTCCCAAGCAAAGACCGAGCCGACTTCGACTCACAAGCAAAGACCGACTCCAAGCAAACCGACCCCCAAGCAAACCGAAAGAGACCGACTCACAAGCAAAGACCGACTCCCAAGCAAAGACCGACTCCCAAGACCGACTCCCAAGCAGTGACTTCCCAAGCAAAGACCGACTCCCAAGCAAAGACCGACTCCAAGCAAAGACCGACAAGCAAAGACCGACTCTCCAAGCAAAGACCGACTCCCAAGCAAAGACCGACTCCGCCAAGCAACCGACTCCCAAGCAAGACCGACTCCCAAGCAAAGACCGACTCCCAAGCAAGACCGACTCCCAAGCAAACGACTCCAAGCAAACCGAAAGCCCGACTCCCAAGCAAAGACTCTCCAAGCAAAGACCGACTCCAAGCAAAGACCGACCCAAGCGACCGACTCCCAAGCAAGCACGTCCGACAAATCACGATGGATTTCACCCGACAATCCCATCAGCTGTTCAGCCAAGGACGCAAGCGATCATCTCCTTCCAAGAAGTAATCTCCCGCGCGCTTTGGTCCTGTTAATGAAAAGGGAGAGGGCGAGAGGACAGCTGTTGGCTCCCGAAGAGGCCTAAGCACCCGGCGCCAGAGATGTAATTGTTGTGTAGGCCTAGCTAGTCAACTCTTTGTGTTATCTTAGAGGGAAAACTTTCTCTCCTTTATCAGCTTTTTCTGGGGAGTTTTATCCTTTTTTTAGGGGGGGTGAGAGGGGAAGGAGGGGTTATGTATATGCTGTGGGTATATGTGTTCTTGCTCTTATTTCACTCTTATCTGATGCGGAAATATGGCAGCTCTTTTTGTCGAGTCGTGTATATGTGTAGAGAAAACTTTCTTGTCTTTGTTCTTATCCTCCTCTTTATCGTAATGATTGTTGTATATGTGTTTTGTCTTTACTCTCTGCTCTTTAGTGTGTATTTAATGTGGTATACATCTTATCAAACTGTCTATAGAATTATTGTAAACTTTTATAGATTACTGAATAGGCAGACAAGCTTATGGATATCTACCCATAAATAAATCCTTTTCTCGACATATTTCTCTCTCGTCCGTCTACTCTCTCTATATATATATCCATCCGTCTCTCTCTCTCTCTCTCTCTCTCTCTCTCTCTCTCTCTCTCTATCTATCTATCTATCTATCTATCTATCTATCTAATCTCTCTCTATCTCTCTCTCTCTCTCTCTCTCTCTCTCTCTCTCACTGAATCAGGAATACTATATTCAGAAACATGTGATTAAAAGTAATATATATTTAATGTAAACAAATTCTATATACAAAAGTAAAAGAAAACATTATTTTTTGTAGTAAAGATTATGCAAAGGGATTAGTAAAATAAAGATGGTGAATGGTTACTGATGTAAAGGCGAAGATTACACGAAGAATAATACGATTTTAGACAAAACGGCTCAAAGATAAGAGTCAGTATTAGAGATGACAGTATCAAATTAAAGAAAAATAAAAGATAAAAGATAGAAGATATAATTTTCTTCGAAGAGAAGGAAATGAAGAATGGATACCATATAGATAGACAGACAGACAGAGAGAGAGAGAGAGAGAGAGAATGAGATAAATAAATAATCAGACAGAGAGACAGATTCAGACAGAGACACATACTGGCATAAACACTGACAGATAAATAGATAGATAGATTAGTAGATATCAAATATAGCGAAGTAGACAGAAAAAGAAAGAAAGGGAAACAGACAGACACAGATAAAGAGAGACAGTAAGACAAATAGACATGCAGAGAAGGAATAGACAGACAGACAGACAGAAAAACAAACAGAAAGAGTAAGACAGAATATTCACCAGCAGATGACAAAAAATAGCACTCGGAGAACACCAGCAATAAAAGGGGAGAGAGAGAGCAAGAGGTGATAAAAAGAGTGGGAGGAGGACATTGTCTTCCAGATTCCTTTAACGAGGACACAGAGCTGGGAAAGTTCAAACAAAGATCGCACAAACTAAAAAGATTCCTTTTCCGTCCATATTTCGCTATTGCGCGTCTTCTCTCATATTATTTCCGTTTCTTCTCTCTCTCTCGAGTCTCTTCTCTCTTCTCTCTCTTCTCTCTCTTCTCTCTCTCTCTCTTCTTATCTATCTCATCTATCTATTCTAATCTCTCGTATCTATCTATATCTCTCCTCTCTCTTCTCTCTCCATCTCTCTCTCTCTCTTCTCTCTCATCTCTCACTGAATCAGGATACTATATTCAGAAACTTGTGATTAAAAGTAATATATAATTAATGTAAACAAATCTATATATCAAAAGTAAAAGAAAACATTATTTTGTAAGTAAAGATTATGCAAAGGATTAGTAAAACTAAAGATGGTGAATGTAATGATGTAATAGGCGAAGATTAAACGAAGATCAACTACGATTTTAGACAAAACGCTCAAAGATAAGAGTCAGTATTAAGAGATGACAGTATCAAATTAAAGAAAAATAAAAGATAAAAGATAGATAGATATAATTTATTCTTCGAAGAGAAGGAAATGAAGAATGGATACCATATAGATAGATAGACAGACAGACAGAGAGAGAAGAGAGAGAGAGAATGAGATAAATAAATAATATCAGACAGAGAGACAGATTCAAACAGAGACACATACCTGGCAAATAAACACTGACAGATAAATAGATAGATGGATTAGTAGATAGGCAAATATAGCGAAGTAGACAGAAAAAGAATGGAAACAGACAGACACAGATAAAGAGAGACAGTAAGAAATAGACATGCAGAGAAGGAATAGACAGACAGACAGACAGAAAAACAAACAGAAAGAGTAAGACAGAATATTCACCAACAGATGACAAAAAATAGCACTCGGAGAACACCAGCAATAAAAGGGGAGAGGAGGAGCAAGAGGTGATAAAAAGAGTGGGAGGAGGACATTGTCTTCCAGATTCCTTTAACGAGGACACAGAGCTGGAAGTTCAAACAAAGATCGCACCCGGGCTGAAAAATTCCCCGTCAAGGCCCTATTAACGTTTATCAAACATAATTAAAAGATTCCCTTTTCTTGTTCTGGCACTCGCTCTCGCTCTTGCGCTCGCGATCTCTTCTCTGCGTTCGCGACCTCTCTCTTGGGTTTCTCTTTCTCTCTCTCTTGCGCTCGCGATCTCTCTCTTGGTCTCTCTCTCTCTCTCTCTCTCTCTCTCTGCGCTCTTTGCGTTCGTTCGCGATCCTCTCTCTTGGTCTCTCTCTCGCTCTCTCCCTCTCTCTCTTGCGCTCGCGAATCTCTCTCTGGTCTCTTCTCTCTCTCTCTCTCTCATCTCTCCTCTCTCTCTCTCTCTCTCCTTTCTCCTCTCTCCCTCTCTCCTCTCTCTCTCTTGCGCTCGCGATCTCCTCTCTCTCTCGAGCGCTCGCGATCTCTCTCTGGTCTCTCTCTCTCTCTCTCTCTCTCTCTCTCTCTCTCTCTATCTTCTATCTATCTAATCTATCTATTCTATTATCTATCTATCTATCTATCTATCTATCCTATCTGTCTCTCTCTCTCTCTCTTGTTCTCTTCTTGCGTGGCTTTGTCTCTGTCCCTTCTCTCTTCTTGTTCTCTATCTATCTATATATCTGTCTATCTATTTATCAATCTCTATGTTAGTGTGAGAGAAGAGTCAATGAAGAAAGTAGAAGGATAGGGGGAAGGAAATAGAGAGAGAGAGAGAGAGAGAGAGAGAGAGAGAGAGAGAGAGAGAGAGAGAGAGAGAGAAGAGAGAGAGAGAGAGAGAGAGAGAGAATGACAAACCCTCCGAGAGAGAGGGAGAGGGACCCAGGAGGACATTCTGTTCCCAGTTCATCAGTATGCCTAAAGTCGTTCGCTCGTCACGTTTTCTTTGTCTCTCCTAAATGAGTTTTCCGCTTGTACTCGTTTTCTTTCAGCGCTGAATGGGTTGTAACGAGGAAGCCAAGATGGCGGAGGCGCTGTTTGCTTTGGGCGAAAGAGAGGGAGTGAGGGATGGCTTTTGGGGCAAAGAGGGGCCCGTCGATTTCTCGTAGGGAGTCAGGAACCTCCTTTGTTGCCCAGTGACAATGGGAGCCTTCTTTTACGGGGCTTTTTTGTCCGCGTGGAATTGGCGAAAGAGAGTGGGTCGTCCGCCCGTCTCTCCGGCTGTTTGGCTGTTTGTCTGTCTCTCGCTTCTCTCTCTCTCTCTTTTCTTGTTTTCTTCTTTCTCCATTTTCTGTTTCTCTCTTTCTCTCTCTTCTCTGTTTCTTCTCTTTCTTTTCTTTCTCTTTTCTTTTCTTTCTTCTCTCTCTTCTCTCTCTCTCTGTCTCTCTTCTTCTCTCTCTCTCTCTGCTCTCTCTTCTCTCTCTCTCCTCTCTCTTCTCTCTCTCTCTCTCTCTCTCTCTCTGTCTCTCTCTCTCTCTTCTCTCTCTCTCTCTCTCTCTCTCTCTCTCTCTCTCTCTCTCTCTCTCTCTCTCTCTCTCTCTTCTCTCTCTCTCTCTCTCTCTCTCTCTCTCTCCTCTTTTCCTCTCTCTCTCCATACACACAGACGTGATAATTATGGCGATTATAATGAGGATATTGGTTAAAGTTATAGTAATAATAATGATACTGATAATAATAACATTAATGATAATATAACAATGATAATGATAATAAAGATGATTAAAGTAATAATAACATTAATGCTAGTAATGATTCATAATAACAATGATAACGATCATAATGATGAATATGATAATGAAGATGGTGATAATAATAATGATTATAATAATAATGAAGACTGCGATCATAATAGTGATGATAATAATCATGATGATTATAATGTTAATGAGTATCGCAATGAAAATAAAGGTAATAATGAAAATGATGTTGATAATCGCAATGAGAATGAGAATGATAATGATGATGTAATAGTAGTAGTACTAATAGTAGTAATGATGATAATAATGAAGATGATTTAATAATAACAATAATAATAATGAAAATAATAACAACAAATAGAAAATGATATTAGTAATAACAAAATAAAAACACCACCAGAATATCCCTCATTCTTGCCGCCCCCCCAATCGCTCCCCCCCTTCTCTCCTCCCCTCCTTCCTCCATCCCCTTCGCCTCCCCCACCTTCGCCTCCCGCCCCGCCCCCCCCCCCCCCCTTTGATGATATCACGCTACCGCTTAACCATAAATCAATGACCAACAATTGATGACTTGTTGATAACTCGAAGAGGGAGCTGGCCCGGGGGGGGGGGGGGGGGAGAAGAGAGGGGAGAGAATAAAGGATGAGAATAGGGGTGAATGAGAGAGTGGGGACGGGGAGTAGGGGGGAGGGGGAGACGGGAGGGGTGGGAGAGAGAGAATGAAGGGTCTAGGGAGAATTAGAAGAGAGAGAGAGAGAAAAAAAAATAAAAGTGGGTGAATTTTACAAGAGTGGAGGGGACTGGGGAGTGTGGGGGAGGGGGTAGAGGGGGCAGGGGGTATAGGGTACGTTGGGGTTGCTTTTGAGGTGTTCGATAATAAGAAGAACGGAGTGGAGAGGAGAGAAGGGGATGA